TATTATTTCTATCTCTTTCAACTTTTTCTCTTACATATTAAACTGAAGATATATGTCAGAATCTTTTTTTTTTTTTTTTTTAATACTGGGGATTGGGCCCAGGGTCTTGTGGAATCCAGGCAAGTACTCTACCACTGAACTACATCCCCAGACCTTTTTTTCAGGGAGAGGGGTTACTGGTGTTTGAACCCAAGGGTGCTTAACCACAGAGCGACATCCCCAGCATTTTTTTTTTTTTTAAATATATATAGGGCTGGGGATGTGGCTCAAGCGGTAGCCCGCCCACCTGGCATGCGTGCGGCCCGGGTTCGATCCTCAGCACCACATACAAAGATGTTGTGTCCGCTGAAAACTAAAATAAATATTAAAATTCTCTCTCTCTCTCTTTAAAAAAATGTATGTGTGTATATATATATATATATATATATATATTTTTTTTTTTTGAGATACGGTTTCACTAAGTTATTTAGGGTCTTTCTAAATGCTGAGGCTAGTCTTGAACTTTCAATCCTCCTGCTTCAGCCTCTAAGACCTTGGGATTATAGGCATGCACCACCATACCCATCTCCCCAGACCTTTTATAAATTTTATTTTGAGACAGGGTCTTGCTAAGCTGCCCTGGCTGACATTGAACTCATTATCCTCTTGCCTCAGCCTCCTGAGTTACTGGTATGTGACACCACATCCAACAGTGCATCAGAATATTTAACCTGGGCTATATAAACTAATTGCTCATTATGACAACTCACTATAGAAAAGATACAAAACTCAATAATTAAGTAGGAAAGTTTTAACTAATCTGATATTTTAAAAAAATTGTTTTAGTTGTAGTTGGACACAATACCTTTATTTTATTTATTTAATTTTATGTGGTGCTGAAGATCGAACCCAGCGCCTCACACATACTAGGCAAGCATTCCACCGCTGAGCCACAGCCCCAACCCCTAAACAGATATTTTAAGTGTTGTTTTGTTATTGTGTTTTGGGGGATCCAGGGCCTTGAGCATGCTAGGTAAGTGTCCTACTACTGAGCTACATCTCAGCCATAAGTTTTTTTTAATGATGAAAAAAATATGATATAAAAATATATAAAATGCATATTATAAAATTTACCATTTTAACTATTTCAAGTGCCCCACTTATTTGTTTTTGAGGTACTAGAGACCAAACTCAGGATCTTACACATGCTGGCAAGTGCTCTGCTGAACTGTACCCCCAGACCTTAAGCTTACCACTTGGTGTTACTAAGTCCAGTCTTCACATTGTGCAGCCATCACCACCATCCATTTTCAGAACTTTTCCATGATCCCAATTGAAACTCTGTTACTCCATTCTCTCTTCTGTTGTACTTTCTGTCTCTATCGATAGATAGATTGCCTATATTAGATATTGTATATATGCAGCATCATATAATGTTTGTGCCTTTGGGTTGAGTTTATTATACTTAGCATGTTTTCAAGGTTTATCCATTTGTAGCATGTGTCAGAATTTCATTCCTTTTTAAGACTGAATACTAGTCCGTTGTATGTATATACATTTTGTTTAGCCATTCATCCATTCATGGACACTCTTGGGTCATCTCTCCCCTTTGGCTATTCTGAATAATGCTGCTACAAAAATTGGTGTGTACATAATCTGCCTTCAATTCTTTTGAATACACACTAAGAACTGGAGTAGTTGGATCATATGCTAATTCTAGAGAAATTAATCATATTTAAAAACTAACAATAAGAAGCATAAATTTTCTCTGCGTTTTCCTTGTTCCATCCCTAAGAATCAAACTGATCCAACCAGCAGCCTCCCTTGAGCTCAGCAGCTCAGCAGTGATCAGACATGGAATGTGCCTGAGGTAACCACAAAGAATAGTGTTTCGGTGGCTATGGGAAGTATTGCCTGTCCCCTGCCTGAAGGGGAGTCATCAGTACAGGTCAACTTGCAGAGAGGGAGGACATAAAGTACTGAAGGGCATCTCCGCTCTCAGGCTTATTTAAAAGAATGAGGGGTTCTTAGGGAAAAAGGCGCAGAAAGCAGAAGCTCAGAATTAGAACAGGTTCCTCCATACCTGTTTTCAGATAATGGAGTGTGGATCACTCAGGATTCAGTGGCTTATGTCAGGTCTAGGCAGGTTGGGAAGCACCAGGTGAGGCAGGGAGGGGGCAGGTGAGAATGACAGCAGGGACAAGTTGGATCACAGTACCTTCCAGGTGTAATTAAGATAAATGGTGGTCTGTGTTGGATGTGGGATAAAGTGTGATATTTCAACAGTTAGGAAACACCCAGTCTGGGGTAGAGAAGTGCCCAGAAGATCTGACAGTATAGGGCCTAAACTTAAACAATGCTTGGCATATGCAAGTTATTACTGCACTTATTAATGCAGTGTTTACACAGTTTCCAGGACCAGACTCCCCTTCCATCTAATCCACCCCACACATTCCTGCCAGTCGAATATTTTTAAATAATTTGGCACATGATGTCTCTCAGTTCAAACTCTTTCAGTAACTTCTCATTACTTATAATCATTGCTTCTCAAACTGGGGTGAGTAGCCTCAAGGCCACTGCTCTGAGGGGCAGGTAATCTGGGGGTAGCTTCTGTAACATCAATTTTCTGGAAAACGAGGACAAATTTGACTTTTACCTCAAAGTGGATGTAATAGCACTTGATGATATTTGTATGAGATTTAAGAATTTAAGACCTAAAAAGAGCATACTACAGGGATACTGCTACATCGATGTTCATAGCAGCACAATTCACAATAGCTAGACTGCGGAACCAACCTAGATGCCCTTCAATAGATGAATGGATAAAAAAAAAATGTGTCATTTATACACAATGGAGTATTACTCTGCACTAAAAAATGACAAAATCATGGAATTTGCAGGGAAATGGATGGCATTAGAGCAGATTATGCTAAGTGAAGCTAGCCAATCCCTAAAAAACAAATGCCAAATGACTTCTTTGATATAAGGAGAGCAACTAAGAACAGAGTAGGAAGAGCATGAGAAGAAGATTAACATTAAA